AGGGCTAGTAGTGTTACAATAGCACTGTGATTCTACTAAACAAGGAAGTGGGAGCTAAAGTACAGTGTGCATGATGTATTTTTGCAAATATGCTAGCACAAGCACATTAGTTCATTTTCATTTATTTAATGATCAATTTAAATAGCAGTACCCAATTTCCGAGGACATGCATTTCGTTATATCAATAATAAACATGGAATGATTCTTCCTCTGTGCTTGGTTACCAGATGCATTATATATTAATTTTTGGCGATTTTTCACATTTCCCTGCTAGTTTAAATTTGACTGTACATCCTTCTATGTACAAAAGATGCAAAAAATAAATAGGTTAATTAAAAGAAATTAAAAGAAAAGAAAGAAAGAGTATTGCACTAAAAATAAACAGGGTAAAACTAAAATTCTATGTTAATTATTGCTCAATATGCTTCCAGTGACTCAATCAAACAATGCAATTAAAAATAATTGGATAACAATCACCATATAGCACAAAGAAAATGTACATTTTATTACTAAAATATGAAAAAACAGAATATAATTTATAGCCCATATCTGATCTTTTGTCTCAGATTTCTCTGTACCATGTCATACATCGCAGGTCACAGTAAAAGCACAATTTCTTTTTAATGAGTAAAGATTAATACCTCTGTGTGCATGCAAGCATTCTACATGCTGCTCCATTACAGTGTGCTTCCTCTCTCTTTTGGCAGCAAAGAGGTTAATTATAATGTACAAAACCCGGTCGCGTTCTCTGATGCTCTTTCATTACCATTCAGTCGTAGGCGTAGAGCATGATACTTAATGGTGCAATCAAGAAAACACTGGCGCTCAATACCGTAAGTACCTGCATACTTCACCCCCTGTCTCCCAAACCATAATGAATGCAAAAATGTTAGTAGTAGTTAGTAGACAGATTGAAATGAAAAGCCTCCTTGATCTTGGCATGTGAGAGCTTTGCAATCACATTTTGATTTTCAGAGTGTAGCTTGATTGAAGATTAATGCGTGGGTGGAATGGCCTTTCTCGCTAAAACTGTTGTTTTTGCACTAAAAGTGTGAAAAACAAATTTCATGTTGCTGGCCCTTTGCACCTTTCTTGTGATTCATATTATCACCCTGGTTAGGTGTCTGTGTATTAATGGCGCCTTCATTATTAAACCCACCAGGGATTCTTTCAATTCACTTTACTTTCCTTTCTTCTTTATTATGAGGGGGTGGATTGCCTTACCCGTGGCAGCAATGTCACTTGTAAATTTTTCTTCTTTGTGCTGTCACCAAACATGAAGTTTCTTTGACTGACTTGTCTTGTTTCAGAGCTGAACAGCAGAAATCACATGATGAAAACTATTCAAGATTACAGAAAGTACACATTTTCTGAAAGAAAAGGAAGGAAAATGTGTTACTCAAAGCTAAAGCAAAACAATTTAGAATAAGTTGTACTGCGGTGAAGGCTTTAAACACATATGATACATAATGGTGTATTTTTTTTAACTTCAGTGTGATTTATTAAATGTTTAGTTTTTGTTACAACACTATCTCTGTCTCCTTAGCTCCTAATAAACTGTTTATCTAGTATACATGAAAACATGATAATCCTCTCTTGACTAGAGTCCAGTAAAACACTTTATGATTAAACAGGACTTCATTAGGGGTGGAAATGAAATGTAAATTAGCCAAAGATTTCACGGCAGTTGGCATTGATTCATGATATCTCTATAGGCATAACTAGATAACCTATTTTTTTGTCCTATTGGGTATCATAGATAGATAGAAAGATAGATAGTTAGATAGATAGATAGATAGATAGAAAAAACTTAACTAAAAAAAAATTGTCCTCATATAAATATACAGCCTGCAATGGGACTTATATTAAGCAATAGTTTACTACATTTAATAAAATGGCTAAATATTCTGTTTATAGGTGGACGGACAGACAAACAGATAGACAGACAGAGCAAATCTGTCCTTTGTTCTTTAAATGTTTTGAAATTATTTTAATGTCAGTAATTTTTCATCAGTGCACACTATTCCCACTTCATTGCCTCTGTTTTTTATCCATGCAACTAAAAACACTGCCGTTTTGCAGAAACAGCAGTGTTTAATTTGCAAGGTTAAAATGCATCTAGTAGTTGTTCTCCTTACAGCCACTAGGGGTGCTTCCACCCAATAGAAAAGTTAAACTCTGCTATTTAATCAGGTGGTTTCATAGAATGTGATCGGCACAGTACAGCATTTTGCTGCGCATGTACCGTAGCTTCCCAGTGATTTCCTATGGGGAAACATTGGATTGGCTGAGATTATCAATATTGACTATGAGTCTTGACTACTAGTTTTTTGTACCTTTCTATTTTATCTCTCTAATAATTACAATATTTATTTTTTCTTTATTATTCCATATTTTGTTTATCTTCTCTTGCAGGCTTCTGTTTTCTGAGTACTACAGACTTACCTCTTATTGCATTGACGTTATTCATGTATTCAGGGGCTGGTATAGAAGAGGTGTGCTTTTGTTAATTACCTTGGAATAGGCCCCTCATTTTGTGAATTTGCGGTGACCAACATTTGAGAAATATTTAAATACATTGATTTACTTCACTACACATAGCCTAATGATCAGGTCATTCACTCTAATATAATTAGGATACTTGGTAAAATTGATTTCCCAGTGGCACAACAAAATAATAAATACTTTGAGTGGAGATACACGCTTGTATTCCTATTTTATATTTTACTTTAGTTCAACAAGTGATGACATTCATGGGAAAATGTTTTTGTTAGAAGGGGAACTATGTAAATACTTTGTTTCTTTTATGTATCTGCCATCTAACTTTTACCAAATTTTCTGGCCTTGCAGATACAAAGCTAGAATTGTAAAATACTTATTCTAACACAGTAACATTGTAATCTTGATTTGAAGAAGACTCAAGCCCATGAAGTTCAACAATACAGACATCTGTTTTGATGGTTGATACAGAAGAAGGCAAAAAAATTATAAATAGTTTGAAGCCATTTCCATTTGTGCCACAAACAGAGAAAACCCATTCCTTCTTTATAGTGATCAGATATATCCTTGGATTAACACACTGTTGACACGTTGATTACATTGTACCTTGTAATATTTTGTTTTCATCAAAGAAATCCCCCAAACCTTTTTTAAAAATCTTTACAAAAACTAATAAAATTCCACATCATTGTTCTTACTGTGAAGATCCCTTTCACATGCTGCAGGCAAAATTTCCTTTCTTCAAGTCTCAAAGGATGACATCTTATATACAGTCCTGTTAATGAACTGATTGGCAGACAGCTGTTCATATTGTTCCTGTACATGCTTGTTTATTGTTATTGCGATCTAACTAGTTAGATATCTGTAAAAGTCCTAACAGTTCCTTGTAGACTTCCTATATTGATCACAGGAAAGCATTCCATTGTATCCCCCTTATTCATTGCATGGGTAAACTTAGAAAAGGAAAGACAGGTTTAATAATAAAGACACAATAAAAAAAAAAAATCAATCCAGAAAGGACACAAATATTATTCAGCTGGTTCCTCACTAAGCATGTTCAACAACGGGTCTAGATATATTAAGAGTAGATACTTTTACAATGCTCAAGGTTGACTAGTGCCCTGGCTTTTGAATTTTTTCTTTGTCTTCTGCGACACATTACAATTGTATAACAAATAAAAATAAGCATATACACAAAATAATGTTAGAAAAGTACCTCTGAATATTTTTCTCAATGTGTTTGCCTATGAACATAAATCTGTGCATAGTAATTTTTTATTATAAATAATGGGATCTCAAGATGTACCAATATAAATATGCATACATGGTAATATTTGGCATTTGAAAAATCTAGAGCTAGGTGCTAAATGACATAGAAATGTATAGTCATAATTGGTAATTATACATTGCTTAGCTACAGTACATATATTAATTTTTATTTTTAGAATAGCGTTTCAGTATCTTTATATCACACTACTCATATAAGCAGCGTATGTTAATTAGTTAGGCTAAATTGAGTATTGATGCTTCGGTAGCCAGCATGTTATTGCTCACGGATTGTATACATATTCAGGTTATAAAAAGCTAGGCAGATATCTGTGAAGAAGAATGAATCGTCCATTCTTCAGCAGTAAAACATCATGCTTACAATTTCAATTCGACGGCAAGTATTTCATGTCAAAACAGTACACGACGGGAAAGGAACTTTGTTCTTCGATTCCCCGCAGAGGAAGCATTCTGAGGCATACTTTTTATCCTTTTTATAGCCTGCCTACAAAGGAGAGTCTTTGATTTCTTACTGAATTGAGATCCTGGCTTCACTATGTTAGCAGGTAAATAAGCTGCGACTTTTTTTTTTTTTGTTGATGTTGCAAAGCAGGACTGAAAAAAGCATTACATATGTTACAACTACAGAGAGCCAACTCAGTTGCTGTGTTCGAGAGCATTTTTTTTACTTTTCAATTAAAGGCTCAGACACAATGCAGCTTTAATAAGCTCCATTGATTTAAAGCTAATTTGCACTTGGCGTGAAGGCCAAGGTCTCTGAAAGAAGCTGAAGACTTTTAGATGAGAACTGGGAGTGAAACGCTTATGTATTTTGTATTGTAGCCTTTGTAAAGGAATGGCTGCGTTTTCAATCACCATGTTAATTAACTACAAAAATAATGAATTCAAATACTAATATTCTCTCTTAGTTATACATTATATATGTTAGTATTTTGAATGTTGGAATTCATTAAAATTAAAGTTTTGTTTTTTAGTTTATGTTTTTACTTAAGCTTTAGAGCAATTAAAATTATAGTAAAAAAAGTCATTTAAGATTATTAAAAGGTAGTATTTTGCCTACTATATGGTATTGGGAAATCAAAAATATGTTGGCAAACAATTAAGTATACAAAACTCACATGTTGAAGAATAAAAGACAAGATAATAGCGCTCAATGTAAACTTTACAGATCAGAAGAAGCTGTATGCACAACAGCCAATAAGCACAGGTGGAACTACAAGGTCACAAAGGTGTGATAGTAACAGGACCTTGGAGTTTTAGACTTCCCAAGTGTGCCTGTTTAGCAGGAACAGTCCTTATTTTGGTTCCAAAGCCCTCTGTCCTTTGTTTCTATCCTAATGTCCCTCTTTTCCAGAAGCCATCTATTGTTGGTGAATTTGAGCGTATAAGAGAGCTCCACGGCAGGGGGGATGGAGCGATGATGTAACATGCCACATGGTGAGGAAACAGTGAGGGAGCCTGTGAAAACCTCCGCGGCTATGGCGGTTATGGTGGAACCGCAACAGACTCCAACGGAAAATAAATTAATAGATTCCGAGTGAGTGCTGAGGCTTTGGCTGAAGGGGGAGGTTTGGTGTCAGTTCCACCGTCTTTTCCAAGTGAGCCTGTGAAGAGGGTTTGTGGACGGAGGTTGCGGCCAGAAGGATAAGAAAACCTATGGCTGTGGATTGAACATGAGGAAGCTAAGAGGAAGGATTGAGAGAGGAGACACTTAAAGTACATAACAAAAGAAGACTGCAATACAGATAAGTCATCTAATTACGATATAAGTGACTGTGACATACTGGATTTTCTGATTATGGCTTCCCTTCTCCAAATGGCATATAGGCTGTGGTAATGAAACACTGTGGGGATATACAAACAAAAAAAATAACTCAGAGAAAGCCTATACTTGAAAGGGAGAGGGGAAAATATACAGAAAAGGAGATATATAAAAGAGGAAATTATCAGCTGAATTTCTAGTATTTGACCTCTTTCTCAAATATAAGCATTTTTCAGTGTAAATAATTGAATCCCAAAGCAGAAGAAGAGAAAGAATACAGGGGAGAAGTCTGAACTTTGTTTGTACATTTGTATATAGGTTATTTGGGTCTGTTTTTTCCCCCTTTCTTTTTTTCTTTGCTTTTGGTGTCTCTCTCCTATCCTGAGACTAAGAAATAAAGGAAATAAAGGTAATATCTGTTGCAATGCCAGTGGTGGGCTGAAAGCTCGAAACCCTGGAAATTCAGAGTGAAAGTTGTTGTTTTTTTTGCAATCTATAAAAGAAACATCTTGATTAAAGGGGGAAGGGGAAGAGAAAAAAGGGGGTAAAATAAAAGAAAGGGGAAGGAAAAGAAGAGAAAGATGGCAAAAAAGAAAGGAGAAAAGGGAAAGAAAAAAAGGAAAGGAAAGAAAAAAGAAAAGAAAAAGGGGAAAGAAAGACAATGGTTGTCAAAAAGGGCTAAGAAACTAAAAAAATGACTAAAAAGGATAGAAAAGGAAAAAGATTCAAAAGTGGAGAAACGCCTTTCCTTCTTTTCACCTCAATTACCCAAAGGAGAAGGAGAAAAATCTACTTTGGAAGACCAATCAACCAATAAACAATTAGAAGATTAAGAGAGCCATAAAGAACGCTCAGCAAGCCCAAGACATAGTTGAATTGCCCTAGAATTATTAACGGACGCTTTGGGACAATAATTTGTTAAAATTAAGACAGAATTGAAATGAATATCAAGGAAATAAAATCTAAGTTAATTATTCTTATGAAAAAAGTAAAAGACAACAAAGAAAAATTGAAAACTTTGATTTTATGATCTTGTCTCAACAAGGAAGAAATATTCAAAATGAAAATAAAATATCAGATCTGGAAAAGAAGATAGCAGATCTGGAGGACCGATCCAGACGCTCGACTATAAGACTTAGAGGTATTCCGGAATCTGTCTCTAATGAGAACCTGGGAAATTTTCTTGGATAATTTATTTTAAACTTGGGAATTGAGAAAGATGGCTTCCCACAGTACTTTCAATGATGGCATAGTACATTCAAGGCTCCACAGCTGCCAGATAACATCCCAAGAGATGTGCTTGTCTGTTGCTCTTCCTACCGAATCAATGAGAACATATCAAAAGCCAGAAAAGAAAAAGTGCCATCACAACGTATGATAAGATTAAGCTTTTTTTTGGATTTGTCATACTATACCAGAATAAAGAGATGCTCATTTGCTACCTACACAGCAATATTTGGGGAAAATTACATAAGATATAAATAGGGGTTCCCTGATCAAATTCTAGTTTGGCACGATTCAAGATGGACACAGTTTCAATCTCCAGAAAAATTGAAGATATGGCTAAGAGAAACAAATATTATGGACGTAGGAGAATCGGTCTAAGAAACATAAGTTGTTACTTTTTTCTTTTTTTTTTGGAAAGCAATGTTTTCTTTATTTATCATTTTTGTCATGCATAAAATGAAATATGTTGATAGTTTCTAACAAACACAGAGTGAATTAAGGCACTTTAATAAATATTAGTATACAAGAAATAATTAAGAGAAATATAAGAAATAGACAAGTAAAAAATATATAGAACACAGATAAGAGAGTTTTTAAAAATATATATTGATGTTGTCTGATGTTAATGATTGACATTGATATTAATGATTAATATCAATAATCAATATTAATATATGTAATTTGTATTTTATATTATAGCCTTTCACAGATTTTTGTGCCTTCTTCATAAAGCAATATTTTTTCAATAGGCACATAGTTAATATAATACTACAAAACAAGTTAAATAGATTCAATAAGGCACAAGATATGGGAATAGAAAGAAAAAAAGGGGAAGGTTAAGAATCCACACAATGAGACAGTCAGGATTTATATATCTTTAATAGCATATATAAATGTATTGATCACTATATAAGTTTTTTTTGTTTTTCTTTATTGATTTTTTTACGATAGTCAGCAAATTGAACAGAAAAAAAGTAAAACTAACAGGTTATAGGTAAAAATATAGAAGGGAAGAGTGAGCATAATGAATGACATGTGTTACTTCTGATTAATATATTTTTAAGATAAGCAATGATTGTTTAATATAATATCTATGTAAGATGGAATGTCATTTCCCTGGGCTGTGCTTGTCACTCTTTTGATTCTTTTATTTCGTTCCCGGACCTCGGGCTTACCTCAATATAAATTTATTGTTTCCTCACTGGTTAGGCTCTTTGAACCAGACTAGTTATGGATCATCATTTCCATGCAGAGGGGAATAGTGTTAGGGCATGGAATTCCAACTACTATAAGGGGATATTAGGTTGGATGTTTATGTTAGTCTATGTCAATGTAATTTGTTGTGTATTGGTAACTGTAATGTACTTCTGTAAAGGACTTGGCGTTGGAGGAGGGGATACAAATTTAACGTTGTTAAATATGGTTAGACTCCGTACGATTAATGCACAAGTTTTAAATTCACCACAAAAAAGGTCCATTTTGACCCAGTTTTTATATAAGTAAAAAACATGATATTTGCTGCATACAAGAGATGCATTGGAGGTTAATGGATACATAAAATGTAAAATCAAATTAATACCCTATGGTCTCCTCTCTTCCCAATAAAAAAAACAAGAGGGGTAGCAATTCTGGGTGCTAGAGAGGTAGAGATTCAATTGACATTGTCAAGAGATCGATATAGATGGCAGATTTATTATTTCAGTAGGAGAGATTAATGGTATCAGTACGACTTTAGTTAATGTTTATGATCCAAATAAATGCCCTCACAATTTTGTTTCAGCAATCTATAATAGACTAGAAAAAGTGAAACAAGGTAATCTATTATGGGTTTCAACTGCATCCTGGATAAACTGGATAAAAAGACTTAATTAAGTAACAATATAGATGAGAATGTGATAAGACAAGCAAAAAACGTCTTTGAGATTCTAGAAAGAAACTCATTATATGATATATAGAGATTATACAATGTAGAGGAAAGAGATTATACATGTTTCTCTAAAACACACTATGCCTATTCAAGAATAAATTTGATTTTATGAGATTTGGGGGCTATAAACCAAGTTAGGATCGTAAGGATCCAAGATCCGACCTGGGCTGATCAAAATGCAGTAGTTTTAGATCTGAAAGATAATTCAACCAGGATAAAAAGAGATTGGTGGTTAAATAATATTTTATTTAAATCTCAAGAAAACAGGGATTATATAAAAATTATATTTCAAAGAAAATTTGTCCCCAGAAATCTCTTACTCTACGATTTGGACAGCATATAAGAGTGTAGTGCGAGGTTATCTAATTAAACTGGGAACTCAAACAATAAAAAAAGGCAGAATTAAAGATCTCTGATCTCTATATTCAAGTATTTAATCTGAAGAGGGAAAATAAACAAAGGCTCTCAAGAGGTACATCTAATAAAATTGCTGAGCTTGAGAAAAGAATAAACAATCAGTTGATTGAGAAAGCAAATCGTAATTTGGCTGCATTAAACTCAGTAAGATATTACAAAGGTAATAAAGCTGATAGAATGTTATCAAATAAGTTTAAAAAAAAAATAAAAAGGCGGAATCAAAGATCAAGAAAATTATCTTTGAGGGCTAGACATATCTTTCACCAGATGGGATAGGTTAGGCATTCGGCTGATATTATCAAGCTTTATACTCTTTACCTATAAGAACTATCTGTATAGAAACTTCTGAATATTTCAGGAATAAAGTATTCCCAAGGCTTACACTAGAGGCCTTAGAGGACATTAATAAACCCTTTTCAATTCAGGATGTAGATAAAATTATTGAAAGACTCAAACAAAAAAAATCCCCTGGTCCTGATGACTTCAATGCACTTCTTTATAAAACCATTAAATATGAGTTGATGCCTCATTTAGTGGAATTGTTCAATGAGATAGCGGAGAAGGGGAATTTCCAGACGAAATGTTAAAAGGAAATGTAATTCCCATATTGAAAGTGGGGAAAGACCCTACAGATTTATCAAGTTACAGGCCTATCTCATTGTTAAATGTGGATTATAAGATTTATGCAGGGATAATAGCGGAATGACTTAAACCTTTATTGGAGGGTCTTATACATAGAGGCCTGGTAGGCTTTATTCCAGGGAGATCTTCATCAAATCAGAAGCCTGTTGAGCCTATATGAAGATCTCCCAGCTGACACTGTCACTTGATGCTGAAAAGGCTTTTGACAGAGTCAGCTGGGATTTTACGAGGGACACACTTTTGGAATACAGGGAATAATGTACCGAGCAATCATGGTCCTCTATTCATCACCTGCAGCTAGAGTTGTAGGTTCAGAAGAAAGATCAGAGTGGTTCCAGTGGTTCTCTCCTTTACTGTAAATACTTTCTTTAGAACCGTTAGCTTTAAAGGTTAGAAACAATCAAAATATTAAAGGATATAAATCCTCAAATCAGCAAAAAAATAAACTCTATGCTGATGATACTTTGTTAATAGTAGAAGACCCTCTTAATTCATTTCAGGAAATTATGAAAATAATAGAAGTATACAGCAGAGTCTCAAATTATAAGTTGAATTTGGGGAAAACCGTTTCAAATAGAAAGAAATCTAAAAGTTGAAGAAATTAGTCAACTACATCGACAGTATGGTTTCACATGGGCAGAACACTATTTCTTGTGTTTGGGTATAAATATATCTTTATCCCCAACAAATTGGATGGAAATAAATTTATTACCTTTAATTAGACAGATGAATAGATCATTGAAGAAATGAAAGGGGCCTAGTGAAGTGATGGCAAACCTTTTAGAGCCCGAGTGCCCAAACCACAATATATGCCAACTTTTTTTTCCTCAAAGTGCCAACAAAGCAATTAAACCTGAATACTGAGATTTAAGTTTAGAAAAAACAACTCGTACAGTTGTCTGAACTAATTAACATCTTTTGTTTTAAAAGAACACAACAACAGAGAGTTCAATGATACAAATTTTAAATAATGATATAAATGGATAAAATTAAGCTTATATTTATTAGTATCTCCAACAAATGCAATACATACACACAGACTGCTCAACACATTCACACACCGACTGCTTAATACACTCACACACCGACACACACAGATTGCTAAATACACACACAGACTGCTGAATACACACACACAGTCCGCTAAATACACACACAAACATACACACAGTCCGCTGAATATACACACACAGTCTGCTGAATACACACACACTGCTGAATACACATACTGATAGACTGCTGAATACACACATACACACAGAGAATGCTAAGTGCACACACACAGACTGCTGAGTACACACAGTCTGCTGAATACATACACACACACACACACAGAGACTGCTGAATACACACACAGTCTGCTGAATACACACACACACACACAGATTGCTGAATACATACAGACTGCTGAGTACATACAGACTGCTGAATGCATACAGACTGCTGAAGGGTGTGGAGTGTGTGTGGAGTGCTGTGTGTGTGTGAGGGGTGCTGTGTGTGTGGAAGAGGTGCTGTGTGGGGGAGAGGAGGGCTATGTGGGGGGTACGGGTGCTGTGTGGGGGGGTACAGGTGCTGTGTGTGTGGGGATGGAGGTGCTGTGTGTGGGATGGTAGGGGTGCTGTGTGTGTGTGGGAGGTAGTGGTGCTGTGTGTGTGTGGGAGGTAGTGGTGCTGTGTGTGTGTGGGAGGTCGGGGTGCTGTGTGTGTGGGGGGAGTTAGAGTTGCTGTGTGTGTGGGGGTTATGGGTGC